GGCGGAGGATTGTAATAATTTGGAACCAGACAATCAAGTGATCAACATCATGAGCATCAATCTACGCAGTTGGGTTACGGTGACGTGTCAGCCGTCGTCAGCAATCCTGGCACACGACCCATTAGTCGGCCCACGAGCATGGGTTGCTGAAGACCAATTCTATCATGACGGGAGGAACCCTGTTCTAACTACGATGGTCAACAGCTCTATTGTTACAACATTGTAAGATGGCTGTGCGTCAAACATTATTGCTTTGTGATGATAATTAACTCCACCTTCCGAAAATCCCATGAGACCTGTTCCACACGAGTTGCCGACAACATATCAACATGATTTTAATCGTGTTTCAGATCATATGGTACTGTTTGCTTCTTTGATTGATTGAGTATTGTGTTTAGTAATATTCCAGCAATATCACCGTATGGGGAACGAGAAATGGGCTCAACAGGGTGTACCATGATGGGCCTCGAACCTCGGAGTCACCAGCAAACGCCTTAACCACTTGGCTACATTTGGCCATTAACTTGTCAATACTCAGTAACATTGGTCCACGGGGGATCGAGTTTTTAATGCGTTAGCTTGCCATGACGAAAACGAGGTTTGAATCCTCACAGTGAGGGAAAGACTCTATGAGATGTGAATTGAATATTGCTAGAAGATGCAGAAAGCACTTGTTCATCAATACGATAAGGATGAACACCTGTTTCACCAATACATCATATGCACATGAATCATTTATAAATTAAACGTGTTAATTTGTTAACGAAAAGTCCTTCTGGTCGGGCTGACCACGGGTACACTTTTCGCGAAAACCTGAAGACTGACTGACTGAGTTTAGTTTTTACGCCGCTTTTAGCAATATTCCAGCATAATCACGGCGGGGAAAACCTGAAGAGGCCGAACTTATCGTACGGTATTTAACTTCCATATTCTACACACAATGCTAACAGGTAGTTCTACCACTAGTGTGTTGTGCAGAAAAGTGTATTCCACAGTGGCGTATTTAGGTCACGTGTCAGTTGAGGTTTTCCAGCCTTTGCGTTTCGCTCGATGGTTACGTTTAGGCGCTCATTGGTAATGCACGACAGGATCCGCGAACATCTGGTACCATCAGTGAACCATACAATTAATACAGTAAAAACTACGGTTATAACGAATTCAAAGTAACCAAAACATTTAGCTCCTTACAACCGTTGTTCGTTATAAGCATTTCGGCTAAAATACACGGCAAATGGTCGGACAAAAAAACGCAGTTCGTTCTATCCGTCAGTTCGTTATAAACGGGTTCGTTATAACCGTAGTTTGGTGTACATGATCCATAATGTTTTCGGCTATGTTGCCTTTACTCTCCATGGTATTTATATACTCGGAAAATCGATACTGGCTATTCTCTGAAGATAACGTTTAATGTTAATGGCGAGCCTTTTGCATCTTTTCGTACTTTACGCTCTTACGATTCGTCGAGTTCGAGTGGGTTGTTTTTCTTTGGTTTTCGCCGCTTCGTAAATGTTGGCCTCATCACAGTGAGTCCCGACAACGCTCTTAAGTAAAGCTGTCGTAAACAAACCACTTATCTCGGTGGTGTGTTCTCATTGTTCCATAGGTAAATAGGCTGGACATCAATAAACGTCGTTCATAAACAGCTGAGGTCAAAGTTTGCATGGACACAGCCTATCAAAAGAAAGTAACGTTTCATTGAGAGAATGCGTGAATATTGTTAAACACCGCATCAGCAATCATCCAGCTATTCGCGGAGATTGGTTTCAATGAGATATCAAGCAAGCCATTTACATATTTACATTGAAGGGCGGAGGGGTAGTTGTTAAAGCCGAGCTTATCGTACTGTATTTAACTTCAATATTTTAACACGCAAATGATTAAGGTAGTCTAACATCGGTGTTCAGGCCACGTGTTAGTTCGGTTCTTCCAAGCGTTGGCTCGTCACGCCGAAGACCGGGTTTGATTCCCCACATGGGCACAATGTGTGAAGCCCATTTCTGGTGTCCCCCGCCGCGATATTGCTGGAATATTGCAAAACTCACTCACCCATTTAATAATTATTATGTTTATGGAATGTTAATAGTCTGGTAATCTCCCCCCCCGAGCTCTTTGATACAGAATCCGAATCTGTAAGGGTTGTTGTGGCACCATGAAATCATTTAAGACATGTAACTTAGTATAGCAAGTTTTCAAAGTTACTGAATGAGGCGTAACACTAAACTCAGTCAGCCAGTCAGTCGGTTCTTCAAGGCTGTGGCTTTAGGACATGGAGCCATGGGGTAGCCTAATGGTAAAAGCGTCCGATCGTCACGCTGAAGACCCGGGTTCGATTCCCAGTGGGTACAATGTGTGAAAGCCATGTTTCTGGTGTCCCTGCTGTGAAATTGCTGGAATATTTCTAAAACCGTAAAAACTGAACTCACTCACTGCTGAACGTAAATTCTTTTAGTCATAAATGTTTTCAGTAGTAGTTTGTTGTAAAAAGTTTGAACTGCATCACATTTCCATTACTCATAGCATGTTTATACAAGTGTACAGTTGGGGGCGTTGGGGGATTGCTTTTGAAAACAAATATCAATTTTCCAATGTGGTTCAAACTGAATTAATCATTTGGAAACTCTCGGTTATGCTTGCTCAACCACAAGTGTTAGATCACATAAACCACTTAGGATAGAATCAGATGAATCAACGACCGCATCACTTCGAAAGCTAACATTTATAGAAAACGATTTATTTTCTTTTGTTGACCATAGTGAGCAGGCATTGCAAAATAACACAACCAGGATACAAAAATAGAACTGCGCTTACTACAATATTCAATGTATTTATGACAAAATAATTTGGCCAAAAATCCTGGAAGTATTCGACAAAAAGAGAGTACAGTATTTCATGTAATGTCATTAACAGAGAGCTCGACATTTGACGTCACAATGAGTAGTGTGACGTCTTCAGTATGAAATATTTGGGTTTAAAATAATCACCCCCCAAAAAGCCAAACAACAAAATATTTGGGCCTCTGCACCGGCATCCTTTGTTTAAAGGCTATTGTCAGTGTATCTTAACTTTACATTCAACTCAGTACATTAGATTGAAGCATTGCCACTTCCCTTAATATAGGCTTACTTGCCATCATGGAAAGAGTTCGCGTTCCATTTTGTACTGGTACAAATGTTCGAAATTCTATTAAGTGCTTTTAAATGTAAAGATTAACATATCTCTGCACTGAAAACGTTTATCTAGAAATTCATGACAAGGCCACGTAATTGAAAACAACAATCATAATATCAAACTTGCTAAAAACCAGCACACCATACACCTTAAATACTCAAATATGAGTATGCTTTGTAACAGCATTTGTACTATAGCTGGAGATGCATGGCATTCTTGTCTCAATGGGAAAATTAGCTGAGATTAAAGACGAAGAATAAGTTCTTTAGTCGGTAACAAAAGTCAGGTGAGGTGAGGTGAAATTGGGTTTAACGTCGTACTTGAGAATATTTCGCTCATATGACGACTTGCATGCGTGTGTACGTGTATGTGCGGCAGCTTGTACTAGCCCAGACTGAAGCCGGTTTTATAGTTCTAGCACACTAAGATACAATGCCGCAGTGAAGCATGAATACCCCACTCAGACACATTATACTGACTCCGAGCCGACCAGTCCTTGTTGAACCCATTAATGCCGAGCGCCAGGCAGGTAAGGGCAAGTACCATATTTTAACGTCTTTTGGAATGATGTGGTCAGGGATCGAACCCGCGACCTTCCGCTCTCCGGGCGGACGCTCTAACCACTACACCACGGAGGCGGTCGGTAACAAAAGTACAATTACTGTTGGAAATACCTCGAGGCGGTTTCCAGCTCAACTGCCGATAGAAAAGCACAGCAAGCAGATGTATCCTACTAGATGTACTGTTGTTAATCTAAAGTCAGATGAAACTTAATGTCTAGTGAATATTGGACAGAAGCCCTTGAGCAGTTTTCAACAAAAGTTCATCGTCCAGTAGTTTTCAACAAATGTTCATCCTCTAAAAGTTCGATTACTCTGCAACAGATGTTCACGTTTAAGCCAAGATCGATTACGATTGTAGGTCGTCGTCCGGAGAAGTGTATCCTCTCACAGAAGAGACACTACATGTATGCACACATTCTTTTTGAGAATGTAATTCTAAATGCTAATCATCACATAAAACAAGCCTTCATGACTTGTTTTGACTCGCAAACAAATCAGAAACGACACTTCAGTATCTGTGCATGTGTATATTAGATGGGCATTAGTCTTTTGAGTTTTGAATGTGATTTTGTTCTGAGTTTGATATAGTCCTTAAAGTCACAAATATCTTCCATTTGCCTCAAAGTAGTTCCATGTGCAAAAATTATCGTGGCATTATATAAGTGAGTTTGTTCACAAATTGCTTTTTTTTACCCATCGGTGAATGGGTACCCGGTGGGATAAGTTATGTGACTGTTAACCTTCTACCGTCTCACAGGCAGCTTGGGTTATCCGGGGTAATAATGTGTTAGTACCTTGAGCATGCACAAGTGCGTGGACACAGGTGCTTTATAAATAACCATTATTTTTATTTGTGGTGGTATTATTTGCGATATTCTAAGCTACAATGCAGGAACAGTCGGAATCACAGACGGACTAAGAGTGATGTAAATGTATGCATACACATCGTAATGGACAGACGAGAGACATTGGTGTAGCCCTGGACACCGAACTCGGGGATGTGCTCACAGACACGAATCAAGCGATAATCGATTTCATATCTCATTGTCAGGATATTAAGTAATGACATGCTGAGTTGACAAGGGCATAATTGACAATTGCGGATTACAGCATGTGAACTGCCATACATGTAATTCGAAAGTGTCAGATAGGAAATTGTCCAGAACCAGTTCTTCGTAATATGCCATAGAGTCTTAAGTGTCTCCGTGACACTTAAATATATGTCTCACTGAGGTGACACTTTAATTCTAAAACAAAACCCAAACTTACCTTAACTATAAAAGTAATCTATGACCCGCCATCCGTTCTTTGGTCGATACACACCGTGAGGCAGTGTTGGGTTGACTGAGCGAGAAAATACCAAGGTAAGTGTGACTATCTGCTCTTCTGATCACTGACTGCGAGCTGCCTGGGTCTGTTCGATTAGACTTCCTGGCGCCTGGTGTGGGAAGGCAGGAGAACTTGCTGCCCGATTTCCGGTAATAGCAGGGTGCATTCGATTGGATAATAACATTCAATACGTGAGTGGAGAGCAGCTGTGTTGCCTTTGCTCACGAAGTGTCACTGTAAACTATTTTGTCATGCCTTGGGGCTCGTTCGATTAGAAATCCAACGGATTAAATCGTCGAGCTATGACAAATATAATTTTCTGTCGATCTAAAGAGGATTATCGATTTGATAATTTGATGACGAATTATGAGATGTTAAAAGTCTTTGCCAATACCCTCTTTGAGTGGCATTTGCCAATACGTTTGCACAAATGGATTTCTGTAAATATTTTCGACGTTGCACAAATAGTCGATTCGCACTTCTTGAGGTTCCTTTCGGAGATAAACATCGTACTTATCATCACAGTGTTTGTTTAATGGCTCACACAGTAATATTCAAGCTATATGGCGGCTGTTTGTAAATAATCGAATCTTGACCAGACAATCCAGTGACTGACATCGTGAGCATAGATGTACGCAATTGGGATACGATGACATGCATCAACCAAACCAACTTGTCTGGCCATACGTAACTCTCGTCAATGAAATATATGATTATTCAACATGTTTGTTCGTGCTAAACGTAAGAGCGACACATCATTCAAATATACATGTGTAATCTCTGCTGAACGTAGATACAATGAACGATTCTGGCTACAGCATGTCCATGTGAAATGAGTCAGTATGATATCCTGATGATATCAGTGATTGAGTGAGTTAGTTTAGTTTTACGCCGCACTCAGCAATATTCCAGCTACATGGCGGCGGTCTGTAAATAATCGAGTCTGGGCCAGACAATCCAGTGATCAACAGCATGAGCACCAATCTGCGCAATTGGGAACGATGACATGTGTCAACCAATCCAGCGAGCCTTACCACCAGATCCCGTTAGTCACCTCTTACGACAAGCATGGGTTACTGAAGATCAATATTCTAACCGGGACCTTCACGGTTGATGATATCGGTGATCATGACAGAATCCTGCCTCACTGGTGGCAGCCGTCACAAACACGTTCTCGGGACATATGTCAACAAGTTTACTGAACAATAACAAAACATAGCTGTATATTTCATATCTAACCATTATAGCTATTCAATACTATGAGGTTAAACACCTTTTTAAACTTTTTTGCATGTACTGATGCTTTATTGATTATTTTAGTGAACATATAGATGATATTTACAATAGATTGTTTAACATATTATATTCGTATTTAAAAAAATAATAACAACATTAATTTGGATTTCCAATATTGTAGATTATTTTTATTTTCTTTCAAGCATTCATGTTCGTGCACATCAGTCAGTGCATGGCTTGCGATGACAGATGACAGCGATCCAGTACGATCCAGGAAACATTATAACCTATGTGCAAGTAAGACCCATCAATAATCGGACTCACTGCAGCTCGTTGTAAGCCACACATTTGCAAACACTCTTTCTTGACACCACTAAATGGCACTGACCCGGGGTCATCGAAAACGACGTGAACCATGTGACTGACTGCCGTAGGAGTTGCGGACAGAGTTGTTGTTGGTATCTCTGGTTAAAACTGACCATTGAGGATCGGTGGTCACCTTGGTCAGACACGAGCCTGGCCTAGATACGACTCTCACAGTAGACTTATACATGCCTTTCAGGTAATAATTAATAGTTTAAGTAATATTTTATAAAAAATGCATTTTCAACTTATCTCGACTTGCCTGCTTAAGGCATAGAATTAATATGCATCCATGGGCTTTGCCTTCAGTACAGTCTTGCATTGTCCACTCATCTTGGCTTGCCTGTTTAAAGGATAGAAGTAATATACATCCATGGGCTTTGCCTTCAGTACAGTCTTGTACTGTCCACTCATCTTGGCTTTCCTGTTTAAAGGATAGAATTAATATACATTCATGGGCTTAGTCTTCAGTACAGCCTTGGAGCAAGGTTAAGGTCACATTGACACAGCTGGAAGTGTGACATGTGTCTTTGATGTTTCAGGACGTAGACAGCAATATAACAGTCTGTAAACGTGTCTGGACCAGACATTTCACGAGCATCGATGTACACAATTGGGATGACATGCATCGATCAGGCATCGGTTATCATAACCTAGATCTTAATGGGCACACTTTGACAGAGTTAGACATTCACCCTCTTAATATTACTTTGTTACAGTCTGTGTGAATGTGCAATATCTCGTGCAATAATTATAATGGTACGTTAAAGAAATATATTTTTTAATATAATTGTAGGAATTGCTGGTGCTGCCCATATAGTGTTGTCGATGAACCTTTGACAAATCGTCTACCCTTCATTTTACTTTGGATATTCGACTCTTTCGTATTCTCTGGCTTTGACGTCCTATATTCAACCGAATGTTTAGATTCCTGAGGCACAATGTATGTCGTCACGAAACGTGAAGAAACATAAGTCTGTTATTTCATTATGATGAGTTGTCTGTTACTTATTATTCTGTCTGCATTATCCATGGACATGGTTATTCATAAATGTATAATACAGAACATATGAAGTGTCAGTTACCTGAAGAAACTTTAATACAGTCCATTAGCATAAACTAGTTTCTTTTTCTCGTCTTCAAGCCTCTATAACCGTCTCATTTTTATCCCACTTATTAATGTGTGTTCATAGAGAAATGGAATATTGCCCTTCTTTTGGGTAGGCTTCTTATCATGATGACTAAAAGCAACATGTAACTTAAAAACGTAATCATTGCAAACATCTCACGTAGACATGAAGATCTTCTTGACATCAAAGGCTTACAACACTAATGGTCATACTTCCCTGCCATGGAATGCTGGGGACGCGTTACCCTGGATAAGATTACCTCTTACTTAACCTTCACAATAAAAACAACATCACGATGAAGCCACGTCTTTGGAAGACTCGACATAAGGAGGAGGGCTGCTGGGGAACGAGAGATGTTCGCCTGACATAGCATTTAACGTTCATACTTCTACAAGCAAAGATGAAATAAGTTTTATGTTTCTGGGAGAAATGTTGAAAACAAATTGCCTCCCTGTTGTTTTATCTTCAAATATTGTCACTGCACAGACAAAAAACCCTGTAACGCACATTGATCAGATTGTAATGGATGAAAAGAACGCAAGTGTCATAGTTCACACATTGTGTCTCCAACGACATAAACGGAATTTCAAATCAATTCAGAACTTTTGGAATTGATATAACATATGCTAAATGCACAGTTTGAAAATGTGTTCGTGTGAGATAGCGATATGTAAACAGGAAATAGACGGAGCTAGGTCACTCACGCTGGTGATGCATGGCATGCAGACTTAGTTACAGTTAACCTTAACGTACAGCTCAGGTAAATACCACATTGTTTGTGAAGGTATATTGTTTAAACAGCTTGGAATGTGTAAAAACCTGTTAAATGATGTACACAGAAGTACGATATACGTCCTCGTGGCTTGATGTATTGAACACAACTGTGCGTTGTAAAGCATGTGAAGTGTTGTAAATAGCGACTGCTAACAGTGGAGTCAGTTATTCGAGTCTGACTATCATGAGCAAGACTTAGTGTTTATGAATCACTACCAAAAAGTGATAATACAGGGAGTTCGCATAAAAGGGAGGGTATCCTGTCCAATCGGTGGCAGCTGCTATAAACACGCGCAAAGGCAAGGTAATTTTTCACCTCTCAATTATCTGTAGTTTTCATATAAAGACAATAACTGAAACTTCTATATGAATAACATGATAGTATTAGAAAGAGAAACATGTATATTATGTTCAATACTCATTGAACTGCTTGCCAATAGTGTTTCTAAAACAAAACGCAGTTCGTTTGTCAGTATAAGACGGCTTCCAATGTTTGAACACGTCATTGAATTCCCGAGTGATGTCCTTCATGTTTTCTGTTCGGTCCATCAGTCGATTGTTTAATTTGTATACCCAGTACTCGCGCTCGGGAAAAAAACCCGCAATTTACAATGTACATAAAAGTCGGTTCTGCATGAAAAGACGGGACACTCAAGATGCAATAACATCGGTACTCTGAAAATACAAGTTGTTTATCTTCTGAAATACGTTTTCCGTTTAAGACCTGCTGATGTATGTCTGTCTGTCTGGGTACATTCACCCTTGCCATCCCATTTCACGCAAATAGTACTGATAGAGTGACGGTTAAAAAGTTGGAAATGAATATCATTGTATGCCTTATTACAGTCTGTTTGTGTAAAAATGATGCGATGTATAACAATCTAACTCCAAATCGGTTCATGATCAAACATTCATTTCAAGCAGAATGTAAAGAAAACATCAGAAAAACGTTTCGTAACATTTGTCTCCAAAATACAAAAGTTACTAAACAAACTATCATCATTTTCTTTTGAATTTCTGAGTGAAGTTTTACGAGGGTAAAGTATCAATATGAATGAATGTTTGATCATGAACCGATTTGGAGTTAGATTGTGATTCATCGGTATAATTTTGACCAAAACAGACTATAGTAATTGGTAATGACAACAATACAAGCAAAAGGAGTAATTAGTGATTACAACAATACAAGCAAAAGACAGTATACACTTGAAAACTCGATTCGACAAAAACATTCCCAACGTTGTCAAAAATTTCTTACATTTATTTGACACACAACTTAACTGTAAATAGTTCAGCAGCAAAAAGAACAGGGTGTTTGTGGACGGCAAGGTACCAACTGCAATTATTCTCGAAGTTGTTAGGCTGTTTATCCTTCACTGTAAATATATAGGAGGTTTCTTTTATATACTTTGGCATGTTAACATGCTGAAATTTTAAGTAAGACATGCAAACACTTAACATTGCGGTTACATTTTTATAGCTTATCACGTATACATATGTGTGTTTGGATTTGTAAGATGAATATTAATGATTTTATAAGTTTTCCGGGAGCTACCAAGATGAAGAGGGTGTCTAATTTACTACC